GCTGATGACAGCATATCCTGGAGTTTGATCCTTTCTTGTATAAAAACCTGCAGGAGGCAGTGGGAATACAGTTGGGTACATCAAGTACCTTCCTGGGTTATGACTGCCCCTCTTCTCTGAGGGGCAGACAGGCTTGTAAGAATCATCTTTCTTCACCAAGGAGGATTCCTGTGATTTCATCCTCTTTACAAATACTTTTTTACTAGTATCTGACTTCAGAAAATTGCTTTAAAGGATGGATGCTCCAACAGATGCTCCCTGTTTCTATAAAGGGAGATGGATAACACCAGATGTTTTGGGGCACGTTTACCTAAGGCCTTGTGTAACGTGCTCTGAAGCACACAGCCATTATTCTTTGTACCTGTCTGTTACAGGGGTAAGCACTACCTGAGCAACTAGTTACCAAATGCTGCTTTGAAGCTGGGGAAAAGGCTGGAGAAAGGAAATTGAGAGAAAAACGTTTTAAAAAAAAATCCCCAAACTTCTAATCTCTTATAGCCTGGGTATTTACAGTAAGAAGCAGCTGATCAGGACTGGCCCCTGATCTTTCAACCTCGTGAGGCAGAAACATCAATGCTGTGGTTTCAACGGAAGGCCAAAGCAGACCCCTTTCACCTCAGTGGTTTTCACAAGGCCAGTAGGAACTGATGGCCTTAAGGACCCTCTGCCTCGCCTCCAAACTAAACTCATGATTTGAAGGTAGTGTTTAAAAATAACTGAAACAAAACTGCTTTTGTGTAGCATAAATAACATTCCATCACTCTGGTTGCCATGGAAAAGACACACAGATACAGATTCGTCTCGGGCATGTGAACGCCCTTGGAATAGCATCAGCTCTCTGACAGACAGCTTTTACTTGTTACATCAATCAGTAACTCAAAGATGCATGAAGTGCTAAGACAATTCACAGGTCCAACACTAGAGCTGGTTGGTACTCACCTATAAATAATGCCTTTGCTGTGAAGAAACTGTAACCCACATAAAATTTCAGCTCCATAAAACCTGAAAAGACCAAAACATCTTTTTATCTGTCTTGCTCAGTTATAACACAGTCAGTGCAGCTGGCCAAAAGCTGCTGTAAATGTCTCTTAATGGAGTGAGGAATATTGTACGCTTCTTTAAATACCAGTATACCTGTATTGATAGAGCTGGTTGCTGTTCTCTGCAAGTTAATGCCTTCACCAGACATCTGTAGTGTCTAATGCCAAACAGTAGAGGGGACACAACAACAACTTGCCTTAGTACTTCATTGCACTTCCATTAGGGAACGATGTCCCTTTCCTACTCTTTAATAGTCTTTATATGTTTTCAGTGATACACACGTGCCTTTTGAAAGCCAGCTACTGGGAGGTCAATACTCACAGGATTCCTTTAGGAGGGGGACTAATGGCTAAGTTGACCTCAGCTATTTCCCTCTGCACCTGCCCAGTTGCAACAGACGGACTGAAAAGGAGCATCAATTCAGGGCCATTCTCCTCAAAAAATGAGATGATAATCCAGAGGATATGAAGGAAAGTGCTAAGAGAATGTTTCCCCCTGCTCCTAAAGTGTATTAAAAGCTTTTTTAAAAAAATTGAACAAATCTAAAACTATTTCCACTTCTGTATAGCAGAATACATCTTGACCCAAAACTTCAGCAATGGCTCCAGAGGATGCCAGGAGCGGCTGCCAGATGCACAGATGTTTGCTGGAATGCAGGTGAGCTGGAGCAGCTTGGTCCAGATTTTTGCTGGAAGAGCAGGAAGGGAGCTTGCCCTGACCTCTAAAGCTGGTTGCTACCCAGACACATTTTATGCCAGACCCCTTGAGCTGATCCCTTCCAGTCAATGTTCCTCAGTACCGTGCGCAGCAACAGAATTAATTTTCCAGTCTGGTTATACAGTAGCACTGGTGCTTACCGGTGGGTCCACTACCCTGCACTGTTACTTCTAAAGCCTTGCACGCACTCATTCAATGACACAACTCAAACTGGGTGAGAGGGGTAGAAACTGACCTAAAAACTAAAAAAAATTACGATAGGTAAAGTAAAAATAATACAATATTTTTGCATCTTTTAAATCTTCAGCTCCAGTGATCTTTAAGCCATGGGTAACTGACACAATTGCACTTGCTAAACAAAGAGCTTCCCCATTTCATTGGTATCTTTTAGAACGTGCAGGTTATCCATCACGTCAGCTTAGCACTACTAGTAAGTAATGTAGGTATGGATTTTTTTTTCTCTCATGCTGTTTCCCCATTTTTCCATCCAAACACTGTCCTAAGGAACACTGAAGCTCTACTTTTGCTTTGTGTTGCTGGCTCATGTTGCAGTTTACTTCACATCTCTAGGTACAAGCATCTCAAAACATCACACTGCTATGTAAATTAAGAAAACGTAACTCCACATGCCATTAAGTGAGCTACAGCATTGTATTAAATCAGAAATACCTTTTCAATCATCAGCCACTGAAAGGTGAGTGAAAGATTGCAGGTAAGTAGTGCAGAGCTAGAAGCAGTGAAACCACAGAGACTAAAATCATTCACAGAAATAAGGACTGAAGGGGTGTGGACTTACGTTGCTCTGTAGAGATCAAAACGCCCCTTGTCTTGTATGTGGAACATCAGGTCTCCCCCATTCAGGAACTCCATAACGAAGAACAGATGATCCTGTTTGCAAATAACCAGAGAATGGAAAAATTACTGATGCTATTGCAACCATAGATGAAGTAGTGATGTGGCCAGTGGGGACCAAGCAGCCACTTTTCTCCTCTCCTGAAGTATTTCTCTATTTCATGCACCCCTAAGAGTGTACATGTACAAGGCTCCTTAGAGATTTGAGCAGCCTGGTCTAGTATTGTAAAGGGAAATAGCTGATCTTGTATTCTGTGGATTTCTAGACTTAATAAAAATAGACATATAAACAGACTTAGTAACTGACTTCTACCTGTGACAGTCATCTTTTAGGCTCTTAGAGATTTGAGTAGCCTGGTCTAGTATTGTGAAGGGAAATAGCTGATCTTGTATCCTGTGGATTTCTAGACTTAATAAAAATATACATATAAACAGATTTAACTGACTTCTACCTGTGACAGTCATCTTTTTCCCCCCCCTCACTGAGGGTAAAGCTAAGATCAAGGATTTAATATAAACTGCCTCTTATTCTAGATTGCATATATGATCTCCTGATCTCATTCTGTTCCCTACAATGTATGTGGAGGACATACTCACATTAACTTTCCACAAGGCCTGTGAACTATTGCACAGAGCACAAGAAAAGGAAATTTAATTCTTGCATCACTAAGTTACTTTCACTTGACTGCTGGTAACAGCATCCATTAAAATTAAGAAGCTGTTGTGTTGCTGTTGCCATGGGGCTGCTTACCTTTGTCTGAAACGTACAGTAAAGGTGTGTGAGAAATGGATTTTCCCATGCAAGTGCAAGGACCCGCTTTTCCACCATGGTACATTCCACATCATCATCTATTAGCACCACGTCTTTTTTCAGAGCTTTGATAGCAAAGAATTCGTTCTTTCCTTTCAGCTCAGCAAGCAGAACCTACAAAAAAAATAAAAGCTGAGATTACAGCATGTAAAAAAAATGGTTATCAGTAAGGGAAAGTCACAGGTGTTTACAGCAGGTGCAGTGACAATTAAAACTATTTAAATGGGAAAGATAAGTGGGATTTGGGAAAGTGAAATTGCATAAAGATGAGGAGACGGGGCGTAAGGACCACACAACACAGGCACAGCAGCTCCCAGGGCAGTTCTGTCAATGTCTTGTATGAACAGAAGACATGTAAAGCCCGTTCCTTCACTGGAGCTGTAGTTTCACAGACAAGAGTGGACAGAATCTGTGGAGGTCACGCTGCTCTGCCACATCTCCCCCCACCACTGCACTGCAGCATCATGAGGCTGTTTCTATACAGAGTGTGTGAGCATAAAATACCCTTTAGCACAGTGGTGCATGAAGGGTAATTCCTCTGCCTCGATAGTAAATAATTACAAAATTGTTGTGCCTTATGAATCACTTTTGAGTTTGGACAAGATTCAGGTGATGAATTTCTAGTGTCTTTGACAAAGATGGTTATATTCAATTCCCTTAAAAGATTATCTACCCGAGTGGCTGTAACAGTAAGATCTTTCTGGTTACCGGAAATAGCCCATCACAGTGCAGAGATCAAGCAAGGCAGTCACCTGAAGTTCTAGTTGTTTGTTACATACCTTTCCAAAACTTCCTTTCCCTAGTACTTTATGGAAGACAAAGCTGTCTATGTTGAATTTTCTCCTGCTTGCAATTCGTAACGCTGTCTTGGGTGTGTTTCCCTCCCAGAGTTTATCGTACTCGCTGCCATCTGCTAATTGAAACAGGGAGTTTAAAGTTCAATATATGCAGAAAAACTGCATGACTCAGATCCCCCGCTAAGAATTAAGTAGTGAGATGCTATTGCAGTGCATCTGCTGCTGGAATACTGGTGAATCTAAACATAAGGGTCAACTCCTGTAGTTTATAACAAAGCGTAAATTGCTCGAGCGTACCTGATAGTGTTGGATTTTGAATTGAATCTGTGATTGTTTCTGGTGCTGGATTTCAGCAATACTTGATTTAAAAAAAAAAAAAAAAAAATCAAAGGCCCTAACTTTCCCCTGTATGAAAGATACAGAGCATAAAGTTGGAGAAAAAGATACTTTACAGGGACTGCTCATAAACAAAATATTTATCTTGTGTTAACAGAGCAGGCCAGTCCCTCAGCCTACGCTGACAGGCCATAAAAAGATCTGATTTATGCCCAATGCTCGCTAAGAAGCATGATCATCAAGGCTAATCCTGATTATATCCTAAAATTAATAACTGTATTTTTTTTTTTAATCTCCACTGCATAGATCTGCTGGGTCACCAACAAGACACTGATGATAATCATGAGAGGATATTAGGTATGCCCCATAAGCTGCACAGCATCTGGAATAACCCAGGGAGGAGTCACAGTGGCTGCACCCTGACTTAGTATTAAACCAAACCACCTTTGCAAGAGGTTTTTATTTTATTTTATTTTTCTCTGTCCTGGCAAACCAGAATAACTATGATAAGTAATATCAAAATAATTTTCTTACTGGGCACATCAACAGAATTAGTTCAATGTGTGGATGAATATATACAATCCTGTACCACTCCAAAACCACTTGGTATCTCTTACTGAGCCTGGTGGTTTCCATCTGGTAAGAAGTTACTTCTACTGTTGCATTTATTTTAGCATAAATTATCATAAGTTAGCAGTTACAAAAATAAGGCTTATACAATGCTGGAACTCTTTTAGCTATACTAAAAAAAATATGAAACCTTACTCTGAACCTGTAGAGATAGGATTCCAGGTACTACTAAAACTATTTCAGCTGTTCAATCTCATGTAGTATTTTGGCTACTAACATCCTAAAATAAAGAGTACTTGTAACTGGTTTCTAATGGTTTGTGACCAAATCAAGATAAGTAGCAATGTGCATGGCATTTCAGTTACAGGAGGGAGGGAAGCGTGTTGGATGCGTGTGTCTGGTTAGCAAGGCATCCTCCATCGTGGGGAACTGCACTGCAGGGAGTAAAGCATTTTGCAGAAAGGTGGGTATGCTCATGGGCTAAAAACACAGGTATTTGTCAAGAGTATGTAAATATTCTGTGTGGCCAGAATGAAGGTAAAAAGAAATATATGTGTATATGTTTTTTAACAGTGCTTATTAAAATAATTGTCTAACATAAGGCAAGAATAACTAACTACTCAAATTGTTAGTTTGTGTAGTCTGGTAGGTAAATGGATAAATTAAAACACTGCAGCTTTTCCCACCTGCTGTGTCTCCTCCTGGAGCTCTAGGTTTCTTATCAAAATCTTGATAAATACCAACACTTTCTACAGATCCAGAATCTGATCTTCGTGTAGATTTCTGAGGAGAAAAGAAACATTTGAAATTATATTTGCACTATTACTTTAGAAATACTCATAACAACAGCTGTTAAATGCAACATGATGGCAGTCTAAATTTTTCTTTTTAATTATTAACTCCTAGTACATATCTTTTCTCAAGAAGTCTGGTTCATAGACTATTTAGCTACATATTTTACAGCTTCAGACCAGCCAATTGCTTTACATCCTTCACTGTGAGAAAATAAGTCACTAGAATTCCTGAACAGCCCACACTGTATTGTTTGCTGCAGAATTATTAAAGGTATAATGGTTTGAATCCACAGTGGGAAGAATTTAAACTGTGGGAAAATGTCTCCTTGGATATATGTTCATCTGAAACAGGAGATGGAAATCACAGTCCTGCTTCAGACATGCTGAAGTCATATCTGTGTGTGACATCCATCTTTAGCATATGGAAACAAATTTTATGTATGGAAGATCCCCGAGATCAAATTTTAGTAATGAAAAGATCGAGCTTTCCTGTGTTGTGAAAGAGCTGGTGCAGCAGCTCTCACTATTTCCAAAGTAAGTATCCTGGGAAAGCTTAGGAACTCTCAGCTCAGAGGAAATACTGTTGGCTTTTGTGATATATTTTCCTATTTTATTTCAGAGCATGTGTCTGAATCTTTATTTGCAAGTCAGAAGTCAACCACAAGAGACAGCCAGGCTGCAGCAGGAGATGAACAATGTAAACTATGGGGCTGTGGTTAATTCCAGAGGAGTTTTCTGTGTGTATATATCAGATTAATAAAAATTGAGAATATCTGTTATATTTTGCCTTATTTATTTAATTTTAGCATTCAAGTGCAATTCTCAAGTTGAGGCACGGACAACCAGACTTTGGCATTACGATACCACTGTTTAAACAATGAATGAGAAAGGGGGAGAATAACCTTGGCACCGGAGAAGAACAAAGTTCGATTTCAGGAAACCACAAATCTTTTAAAAATTTATTTGTTAAGTAGGATTTTTCCCCCCAATTTCAACTTCAGGCTATTGACATCTTTGTTAGTCTCTTTTTGGGTCTAATTAAAAAGAGAAAGCTGTTTGCATTTCCCCTGGTCCAAACTCGGTTCCCCATAAAAGTGACACAGAAAAGATGAAGTAAAAACCCCCAAATGCTCTGAAAACAACTAATTACCTGACAAATGGCAACAAAGCATACCTGGCTAACTTGATTTAAAGCTTCAGCTAGCAACTTCTGGTTTATTCCACATAAGTTTGCCACCTTCTTCTGGCATTTATGGTGCACATTCATCCCACATTCTAAAAGAAATGTAAGGATGGTTATACAAGCATCAGGAAAATACTGTCTGACATAACAACAAAAGGGCTGTTTCTCTGTGCAGTTCAGAAACCTTGATGTAAGATCAGATTGGACATGGATCTATCACTGTTAATAAAATTGCAGTTTTAATCTTTAACTCAATGAAGGCTACAATAATTGTTCAAAAGGAAAGAAGTCCAATCATCATTACTTTCTTCTCAAAATCTGTTACAATAAAGATAATTTTGTCTTTTCGTGGGAGAATTACAAAACCAGTATTTACAGTAAACACTTTCACTACACATTTAGGTGTAGTCAGACTCACCAAATCTCAGCTATTCCCAAAGCAGTAATTTTGATTATACTTAAGATCACCCCTCCACAGCACGTTTTCCGACTGCATTAGCAGCTCACCGTGGCCGAGCTGTCTCATGAGCCAAGTGCCTATTTGCACCCGTACACAAACACAGAGGCTGTAGCAATGGATAATCTCTAGGGAGGAGTTGAGGGGGAGAGATTACTCTGGAAGAGCATGGAGAGGTCCCAGCTGCCCTCCCTGCTCCTCTGTACCTTCACATTTGAGTCCTTGTTTGACCAGCCCCCAGAGCAGGCTGCCGCAGTGGTCACAGAAGGTTGGGCTCATGTAGTTGTAAACTTTGAAGCGATGAGGCATGTCAATGTTGAAACGTTCCTTCTGAAACTGAGGGCAGAGAGAGGGCTGAGGCACTCTACCCAAAACAGGACCAGCTTCTTGCAGAAAATGGCTTAGATATTACAAAGCTACAACAATTTTATCTCGAATACATCAGTCTTAACATCTCTCATCCATCAGGGGAAGAATCTGGCCATCAAATACTACCCACCCCCTTGCAGGGCTCTTAATTGCTTTTCTTGCTTTAAAGTTTCATCCACTACACGTTACATACAATCTTCACGAGAAGACAGTAACTTGGGTTGTACAGCCAGGCACCTCCCAAATGGACTTGGCCGCTTCTATACAAGGTTTTGTTAGTTAAGGAGTGTTTAATTGCATAATTACACTCTAAATGTATTGTTCCAGCTCTTACCATTGTGTCCCTGCTGTTGGCTGCAGTACCAGTACACCTCCCAATGATTTTATCAATACACTTCTTATGAATAGCAGCATTGCATTCTTCAAGACATGCACAAACAAAAAAAGAGGATTCCTTCAGATAATGGCATGAGGTGTTCACATTTCATAGCATAATGTGAAAAACACACTTCTTTCCAGCATACTATATAGACCAAGATCCAGATGATGACATTTTAAAAGCAGCTTCCCCCCATTTTCTTTTACATGACCTCTATTTCTAAACTAAATCTGTCACCATTAGAACATGTCACCAGCATTTGTTAACAGAAGGACAATATCATGCTTTTGAGTTTTCCCCTTTGATATCGCCCCTGCTGTTTGCAGTAATGCACAGGCATCCATGCTAAATCCAAAGTGCTTTTTAATTCAGCTGTAAAATTCATCAATAATTGTAATTATTTTTAGAAAAGGTTTAATAAAAACAGCTCTCAAGTGAGTGCAACTTTTCAACTATATTACACACGAGAAGACTAAGTCTAACTCTTGATACTAAAAACTCAGGCAGGAATCATTATTAGACACCCTTAGGTTACTGTGCAAAACTGATGTTTAATATCCACTACTACCTCCAGCGATGATGCACTGTGCCATGCGTATTTCCAGAAGATTTTTCAACAGTAACTATTAAATCTACAGGTTAATGTGGAAAGTAGTAGAAGAAAAAGCATAAAATTGACTTACGCCTGCATTTGTATCCCTGCTTGTTGAGTCCCCTGAAAAACAAATGATAAAGAAGGAAATCATAAAAGTATATATTTGTTGGAGCAAAAGGTGTGGGGTTTTTTTATTATTTTTACCACGTCAGCCAATCAATCCTTTGCCTATGGGAATATTTGTTCCCATTAAAAAAACTGGTCTAACTTCTGCTATTCAGAATCTCCTCTTAGGAAGGCAAGGTTTAGGAGATAAGGTAGTGTGTTTCAATAGACCAGTAAATGAGGAGGGAAACTCGGAAAACACAAGGTTTCAATCACATGGGAAACCCTCCTGATCTGACTTACTATGAAAATGCTTTACTATGCCAGAGATCCAGCTTCTTGTTCTTGCTGAGTCTTTGCTATCAGCCACTTCACGTCTCAAAGTCTGAGCATTATTTGCTCAGATCTACCCATCTTGCTCTTTTGTGAAAGAACTGTTGTTGACCACAGGTCAGATCTCACTTGATGCTGATGAATTTTTGCCAATTATTTCAGTGGCAAAAATGTTCAAATTCTATTTTTTAACGTAGAAGAGACAACCATAGTTCTTAGGTATAACAATGCTCCTAGTGAATATATTATTTCCATTTCCCAGCACATGAATTTACACGTCATGTTTTGTCTCAACATACCTGAAGCAAATTTTGCAATTATTTTGCCTTTGTGGATGGGGGGAAGCTTAATGTTTCCTTCTTACCATACAAACTCTTTGCAGACAGAGCAAAATGTAGGTTGTCCAAAGAAGGTAGCAATAAATTCATGATTTTTGATGTAGTGGATTTTGGCTTGCTTGATAGCTCCTCTCCTGTTGATAGTTACTGTCCCCTCTTCTTCCCTCAATGACTGTTTGCAATCTAAGGGGGAGACAAGAAGACATGCTTTCAATACTTTAAGGTACTACAAAGATTAATATTTGCTTCTCCAAAACATTCAGTTTGTTTTTCTGTTTCAAACTTGTGTTTCTATTTATTTTACATGTGCATTCTGCAAACTTGCAGTCCAACAAGGTTGGAAGACAAGCATGCACTGCTTCTTAAGACGTCTCCATGTCCTTGTTTGCAAGCACTTCCCTCTCCTGCTCATTCAGAAGCTGCCTTCAGCAAATGAACTGAGAGGAAGAAGCAGGAATGGAATGCAGTCTTGCTAGAGAAATGACAACCACAGTTGTTTCTGGAAAAAATAAAAGCTTCTATACATTATGGGATTTATGTGCTTTTATTGGAAGCAAGAGGGTCTTTTCCTTCAGCAGACGCCTTTTCATACTGCTGCTCTGCGTGCCCTCCTGAACCAGGACTACAGGGGAAATGCAGGTGAAGTGCTGCAGGACCTCCTGAGTCACCACCAGACCATACTACTGTAAGATGGGTTTCTTCCAGCCTCCAGGATCATTAAGCAGTGAGGACAAATGAGATTTTCCATGAGACATTTCCATTATGCTATCTCATAACAACTCTTGGTGCTATGTCTATCAACATGCCACACTTTCATTCCTCTCCCCTCATAGCCCTCATGGGGTTACAGTATATAGTCCTATACAATGCTATAGCAATAATAGTACATACTATGTATATACTGTAGCATCTAATACTATATACACAGTAATTACATATAGTAATAGCCAAGAAATAAAACAACAAAAATATTCTCAGGCTCTGAGTCCAACTGCTCACACAGGTTCTTCATTACATGTTATAGTTATTTCCACTCATTTCCAAGGAAGCTTCCGAGTTTCTCTTACACAAATGAGTATTTTATGTCTCAGTCTTTCAGCCACAACTCAGATTTATAAAGTCTTACTTATGCATTTTGAAAATAATAGAGGAATTTGTAACAGAGGTAACCCCATTAAGGTATATCAAGAGAGAGATTGGGTAACTGGTAATTTAACCCTAGGACATGTTTCTTGTCAACAGGAAGGAGCTGTTGAGGAACAATCCCATCCAGCAGGAAAAGATAAAGGCTTAAATCAGCAACAGGAGCTGATCAACTGCTAACCACATCAGCTGTGGCCAGCAGCTTGTGGATCCCAGTCTGGAAGCAATGTGGCCATGGTTTAGGGTAACAGGAGATTGCCATTGGCAGGGAAGGAGCTTCCACAACAAGAGACTAAGGAAAAAGCCAGAAAAACATTTTTCCCATTGTCATACAATCAGTTTTTATTTGCCCCACTGCATTGCTGCTGTTATCAATATCAGTGGGAGCTTTGATTTTTACACTGAGAGGAAAAGGTTTGTTGCTTTTGCCAAGTCAGACTGACCGCAGTGTCTGAGCTTACTGCAAAGTTACCCAGGAGCTCTGTTTTTCTTGTTGCCTGCACTCAGTTTTTGTCATTTTTTTAGCTGGCTACCACCGCTGCTGTTCCAACAGACAGCTGAACCTGGAACACAATCTATCATTTGATACCATTTTGAATGTCCTGAACTAATTTATCAGTCACAGCCCACAGCAGCCAGATTGCAGCAGCATGTACTATCTTGGAAAAGTAAGGACAATGTCAGCTCAGAGATTAAGGAAAGATTAAGCATATTAATGAAAAGAAAGATCAAAAAAGGTCCCTGGGTTTTGGCACTAGATATTAATGCAGTTTTCTGAGAAACTGGCCATCTGGTTCAGAGAAAAACCCATCCTGCCCCCCCCCCAAAAAGAGCTCACAGCATGCACCATGACACCCTGGCACTATGTACACCACTGAGCTACCTCTTCCCCTCCAGGAACAGGATTAATTTCTGCTGTTCAAACAGGCTACTGAGTTCACCCAACAAAAATTCCCATCAGCTGCTGCACTTGAGCTTGTCAAAGTCTGCAAACAGTGCTATCTCCGTGTTTAATCCTGCTGAGCAAATACACGGACCTCACCCACTGTTCCTCAAATGCTCCAGCGAAACCACGCACCGAGATGTGCACGCAAGGAAAACGACGCTGTTGAGAGTCAGTTATACTTCATATTGTTGGCTGTGTGAAAAGGATGTCTTCATAAGGGTGATTTAATTAGTAACAGCAAGAAAGCAGAGAAAGGCATGTTGCTTTATAGAATGCTTTCTGAGGAGATAACCTGTGATGGAGCAGATGAAAGGACAAAAGCCTCCCTCCCAAAGTCTGTAACGCGAGCAAACCAAGTGTTTAGTGAGGAACTAACAAGGATTCACTAGATGAACAGGACACAGCTTCTCCTCATGCTGAAATACTTGTAGCAATTTAGTACTGCTGATACTGTGTGCAAAATTCTCTGACAAAACTTGATCAGGATATGGGAAACTGTGGTGTTTCCTCCCTGTCTGGAACACTGGCATTGAACTTAATACAAATATGCGAGACTGGCATCTGCTTTTTGGCAAAGTAATGAATAAACTAATCACTTAGATTGTATAAAGAAAAAAAAAAAGAAAAATAAGAGAAAACCACCCCACTTTCCTTAAACATATTTTAAATGTAAAGAATCCTTGAGCACAGCAAAACTTCAAAATCCGCATGTGAGAACACACAGTCTTCACAACCAGCTGCCTTATTAAAGATCTTTGCCAAAACCAACCAAGTATAGCTGAAAACATTTTTGTATGCTTCAGAAGAAGCTGAGAGGTTTGGACAGCAGCCCTAAGTCAAGTGTACCCAAAGCTGAGATGGCTCTGAAATGACAGTGTTCATGTCAATTTATTACGGACATGTTTAACAAGTTATCTTTAATGTGTAAATTACTTTTAATGTGTATTGCTCCAGAAGTTTTAAGAAGTTCAGCCAACCACAGACTCAACTGGGGGATAAAGCCTTTATTTCAAAGATGCAGAGAGAATTAACAATTGCAAGGAAGTAAACTTCCCAACAACTGTATGGATGCAGCGTGGAGATGGGGGGAGGAAGAAACACAAAGGGAAAGCCTTTGCTTCCCATTCCAAACAAGCCAGGATTTCCACAGATGAAACACTTGTCCTGGGCCAGCACATGGTCAGAAACTGTCATGTACAAACCAGCTGAATCAGCAACTACAATCCAGGTGACCTCTGTGGCCTGGACCTGAAATTAATGATTTTGGACCCAGCGCACACCATTAAACATAATCTATTTCCTCTATTGAGAGCTGTGGTTAATATTTATCACTGACACATTGTTCATGTATTTCAAGGTCCCTTCCCAAAACTTGCAGCTAATCTGACAAAAAGCACCCAGAGCTCCTTCGTGCCGTATATTCATTAAGAAGCCATTAAGCATGCCTGTGAATTGACACTGCAATTTTCCAGAAGTGCTGTAAATATACCATTGTATACACTATTTAATTGCAGCACCAATTAATTTCCTTTCTGAACATTTCACAGTCCTTACAGCCACTGACATAACATGCAACCCAGAGTCTGGAAAACATTTGCTAAAACAATATTGCTAGGACTCTGCTGAACTGTAATAAACCTCAAGGTGAGATGTCAAATTGTCTCAGTTGAACCTCAAAAGTTCCAAGGACAAATGAAAAACAACCTCCAGAATAACTCTACTAGACTTTTAAAAAGAAGGAACAGAAAAAAATATTTACCACCTTCAGAGTTCATTTTTCATTTTAACTTGCTCATTTCAGGGTTCTGTTTGTTAACAGAGGAAAGACAGCAGCGCTACTGTCAGAATCCAACAACTGGGACTTTACTTCAAACAGGGACAAGCAAAATATTTTCTGAGCTAACTGGCTGCTCAACTTAAGATTTTCCTGAAACTTTATAATAAATTACAAAATCTACTAACATTTCTGTTCAGTGTTCCCTTCTACTGTTCTACTGCCTTGCACTTGGCTTTGTTTGAAAGTTAAGTGTGCCTTCAGGTCAAGAAAAATATTAATCTCGCAGAGCAATCATTAAAAAGGAAAGCTTGTTCCTCACAAAGGAGACATTCCTGGTGTGAACTGTCTCAGAGAAAAACTGCTTGTTAACCTGGCCCTGGAGAGGATTGCTTTACACATCATCTGTACAAAAAACCAAACCAAAACCAAAATCAAAGGAAACACACCTACAAACATTTACGGAAATACAAGTCTTCCCAAAGTCTACATTCCTATGACATGGACTTGCTATGCTAAATTTGTCATCATCACAACATTTCATTTACATGCAGACTACTAGTATTGCTATGTATTTCTATCTTTTTTATTTTTTTTTTTTAAATAACTGCATGATTCTCAGTACTTGTGCATTTTAAACTGCTAACAAATATTTAAGTAGCAATACCAGTAATTTCCTAGTGTACAAGCCAATACTATTTGCTCTCCAAGCTGGCACATAATCTCAAATTACCTACCTCAGCCCCAAGCATATGCTACCGGCTTCAGCGTGATACAGGCAAACCAGTGCTAGAAACTCAGTAGGACCTTTATTAAAAAATTGTGTATACTGCATGCACCTGGGTTGGGGCAACCCCAAGCATAAATACAGGCTGGGTGGAGAATGGATCAAGAGCAGCCCTGAGGGGAAGGACTCGGGGTGCTGGGGGACGAGAAGTTCAACATGA